ATATATATATATACATACACACACACACACCAGAAATATAGAAATTTCAGTAATTTTGTTGACCATATCACTCTTAATATATTTGCTCTTAGCATCTTTCAATATTGATGCATGGAATAATCTTGATTTTTCTAAATCAAAATATAAAGTTTCCTGCGTTCTTGATTGTATAATCTACTTATTAGAAATTCTGAGAAATGTGGATATTGCCAGGAACTCTTTTATATGTACATAGCGTTTATATTTACATGATAATGTACAATACAGCAGCATTATTCACAAATAATACATTTGAGTGTTGAGAATATAGATATTTTTAGAACGATTCTTGGCTTCGCCAAAGTCGAGTTTTTTTTTTTTAAGGATTTATTTACGTCTCTACCGGCATATAGGGTGAATTGTCAAGAAGTTAATTTGTGATCTTGGGTTGTACGAACATACAGCTTCTTTTTTTCGAACTCTATACTAAAATCGCGCCGCCCGTTAATTACGTTTCGTCCATTAACTAGAAATATCGAAGAAATATCATAGGTACCACAAATTTTATTTGCGTTTGTCTTCTATCGTTGCCTTTCTCTCACTTCTTCGCAAGTCTTTCGATCTCGCAACGAATTATTGCTTTCTCTCGCAATCAACGAATTGTTCAAAATAATGCTTTCTTTTTCCTTTTCATGTTTACGACTTAAGGTTTTCATTGAATATCACAACAGGCGTGATTAGGCTTACGTTATAATAAACGTCGTTAGAGACATTTTTAGCCCGAAATAAACGGTTTCGCGCGCTAATCCTACGGTATTCATCGATTAATAGTAAAATATAAGAATTGTACTTGTGTGTGACGCTACTATCGATAGAGAAAATATTTATAAATCATATTATATAAATAAGCCTACTACACAATATTACAACTATCAAGATCATAGAAATACATATTATATACATACATGTGGATAACTTCTTCGGTAAAAACGCTGACAACGCAACCTCGTATGAAAAAATGACCGTCGTGTTAGTCTTTCGAATGAACAAAAAAAATGCTTCCACGCCACAAAACGTTGAAATCAATAATTTTATACTTCTCACGCGTACCAAAATATTCTATCCTCTTCTTTATTAATAGATTATTTAGATATTTATATTATATATACCAATGACTCCTCCATCGTTATACGTCTTTTTCAACAGTATTCTAAGAAACCTGCAAGTCCTATCACTTTACGTACTAGCAACAGATGGGTATATAATTGTTTAAAACCGAAAAACATATATATATATATACTGTATCAGCAAATTCAACATGCTCATGAATAGCATTATCACTTAACGTTCACGTAATATATAATTAAACATTAAGCGATTAGCTCGTACGTTAGTCATTTCGCTGTAATAACTTTAGAACTCAATCAAATTATATCGTAAAAAAAAAACGTACCCATCTACCCCCTATACTTTATACGGTTTTCTCTCTTACTTACTATCCTTATAAATTTTACAATCTTCTAAAATTATACGACAATCTCTCAAAAATATATCGTAGCAGAATTAATTCGCATATCTTGCTCTTTTCCTCCATTGCTTAACTTCTATTTACCTCCCGACTCGATACGTATATACGCTACTATTCAAAACGTTATTCGCGGCATTTATATTCGCGGCTCTTTCTCAATTCTCTCTCTAAAAAAAAAATCCTTTAAAGCGATTAAGCTTCTAAAAGGATCTAGAATTACGCTTTTGCGAAGGCATAAGACATACATTATAGCTGGAAAGTCGATTCACAGCAGGATTAGAAAAAGACGGAATGTTACACGGTCGGTTCAACAATATAACGGGTGAACGTTTCGCGGCCAGGTTAATCTACCTGCACATCAGTCGCTGCGATCTCGTTCTTGTACTTAACTCATTGTCGTGAGACTAGCTCCATTGTTCAGTTGCGAAGATACTTTTCTCTCGCTCTCTCTCCTGTTACTCTAAGCGCATTGTGTGTATGTGTTGTTTGTGTGTATAATAATGTAGATATATATATATATATTAAATATCGAGTTTTTTTTAAAGGCAAGCATGTATCAGCACCGCAATCCAACGGTGTATGTATGTACGAGTGTTCAAATAAAAGGAGGTCGTTTACGCGATAATCGCTACATACGAAATTACAGCAATTTTCTTTCCGCGTATATATATTTTTTTGTTCTTTTTTTTCCTGTGTAATTCTTTTTTTTTTTTTCTTTTTTAATCCTTTTTCCATTTTCGGGACTGTGTCGTCTACTGGATTATATTATTATATTACTATTGCGGGAATTAGGAATTAACGTTTAGAGGCGGCGATGGCGAACATGCAATCGGGTCTTCACGTAATTTTATGGAGGATCAGCAGCAGTAGAAGCGGAATGACGAGCGTTAATAAACTCGACTGAAACGCAACGGACGTGGCACCGCCATACTGCACCTCCACCTTGAGTAACAGCGGAGTATTGTTGTCATTATGCATGCCCGTCGATATGTCCGTTTTCTTCGGCGGTGTGATTAGGTTCTCGTCGTGATCTAAGTCGGAGTCGTCCGTCTGATGCCGGTGCGTTGTCCGGCTCGAGTCTTGCTTCATTGTTGTCGGCACCGTCGTCGTTGTCATCAACGTTGTCGTGGTCGGTGGCTCGGTGGTCGTAGTAGGCGGCGGCACGGTAGTTGGTACCAAGCTGAAATTGCTCAGGAAGTAGATGGGTCCGAATTCCGGTGTGATGTCGAACAACGTTTCCTCCTGTCGAGTGCCGCTGATCATGCGCGATGTCGTCGTACTATCCTCGTAATGCGAAATCAAGTTCGCGGAGTATGGTACCTCCATGTCCGTATAGTTTGCCTTCAGAGTCACGTTTACGCCCGTACCAGGTTGCAGGTAGACCAGCACGCTGTAAAAGACACGCGCAAAAAGAAAATATGTCAAGCTCGTTGGCTCAATTTAGAAATGGGTCTCTATAATATAAATCGTGCGTGTATCTTTTTTTAACAATAAATTACGAGTCGCGCTATCTGTAAGAAGTTTCGTACCTATAAAAAAATTTAATTGGTAATTTAGTTTCGTTATTCAGCTGAGATATATATATATATATATATTTATAATAATTTATGTAAGGACACGTTTAGGATTATCAAGGACCTCGAGGACTGAACGTATTAACCAGTAGCACTGGACTGTACTGCAACTGGAACGCGGGTCCGATGTATGATCGTAATTGTGTTGCGTTGAAGCATCACTTAAGCTGAAAGCACGACGGAGTATTCTAGGGCACACACTGAGCGGGAAGGGTGTTGAAGCGGGTACGAAGTTGTCGTGCAAAGTGCACTCCAGGCTCATCTCCGCCGCGCGCGAGCTTCAATGATGCACAGGAAGCGATGAAATGTCCCGGGGGGTTAACCAGAGAAAATGGGCGAGAGAGTGAGAGAGGGGGGTGGGGGTGGGGGGAGAGAAAGATAGAGACACAGTTACATTACGGAATAAATTTGATCTCTAATTATATCTAATTATAGAGATACGAGATGAGATTACGAGCTGAATCACTGCAAATCATACGCTTGTTCGACTTATGACTCATTTAACGTTCTATGTCGCCAATTCGCGTCGTAATCCTCACGATTATTATTCGCCTTTGATAGGCTCATTCGCCGCAAACGCGATGATAGAAGCTCCACACTTCATCATGTTCGCAATCATTATGCAAGCGTGACTAGGGGAGATAGGTAGGATAGGATTAATTTAAATTAGCAATTCCATAACGCTTCGTCAAAAATAAAATTTAAATGTTAACTTGTCACTTTAACTTTTCTACGTGACTTTGACTCGCTATCTTTTAGAATATAAATGAAACATTTTATCTCTGGATACGCGTAAAGAAAAGCTCGAAATTTGCATACCTGCCGTCCAACTTCATTGCTCATGACAGTTTAAAACGATACTTACTTGTAAGCCTCCGTGCGATTCTCGTCATCGCGCATACCCCACGTTATGTTCGGTAAGGACGTGCCGTTAATTAGCGTGATCGTGGTGCTCAAGCCGTTCAGGATGGCGTGCCTGCGACCCCAGTAGACCGAGTACTTGTAGTTGTACACACAGGCTTCCGCCAAGTTTGCCGGTTCCGCTCCGCGGTTGACGATCGTAGCCTCGCTGAGTATGCGAGGTACGCGCTTAATATCGCGCCTCTTAGACCAGTTAAGTTTAACGGAGCCGAGCTCATAACGGATCGGCTCGGCCTCCACCAGCAGCTCACCGGACTTCGCAGACTCTTCTTCGCCTTTCTGCGAAAGAAAAACCGAATCTTATACGTTCGCCGTCAAGCAACTTCAATTACTTCGCGAATGAATTACGCTGTCATTAATATGACGCATATCTACCACGAACTTAATGACTTGTTGGAAAAAAAAAAAAAAGAAAAAATTCTTAGAATCAATAAGTTGAATTTAATGCGATATTCCCATTCATCAATCCTTATCGTGTTGGCAACGCGCTTTGAACGAGAAGTTTTTGTTTATTCGCGCTCCCAAAGTTTAACTTGTTGGAATTTTGTTTTCCGATACCGACATCTGCGTTTTGCCAAGGCGGAATCAAAACAGGAAGATGGC